CGTGTGCAGCTACATCGAAAGTTTCCCTCGGCACACAATGAACGCCGGCATTAATTTGCCGAGCGACACGCGAGGAATTGATAAAGCGGAAAGGGGGATAATTCCTGTGGAATCTGTACGGCTCGCGAGGGTTGGTGAAATTTGCTAGATATTTTACGGCCGAGGGTGAGCTGTTTATAAATATATGACCGTTCCCTCGGCCCCCGGACTGGGCGACCCGTCCGAAACGGAGTCAAAGTGAAGGACCTCGTTTAGTTGCCCCCACGTGCCATCGAACGCGTTTTACGGGCCGTGAGCATGTGTCTCGCTACTTTCGCACGAGTCGTTAATTTCAGTGCGAAATCTAGCGGGTATTTATGATTCACGGTGCGATGTGCAAGGATAAAACGAGCAACAGGCATCAAAAACAAAACCGACAGAGCACGGAAACGAGAAGCCGCGGCGGCGCGCACGTGAGCCGTGCGTGAAAAACGAGCGGGAAATATTTCTAGGTGAATACGAGGCATCCACCACCTATACCACGGGAAATCATAGTCTCCCTCAGCTCGGTCTAACTTATTCAGAGGAAACGATCCGACGGTTCGAAATAAAAATTTTCGCGTAGACGGAAAAATTTTTGTCCGAGCAAAGAAATCGCTATGATCGTTCAAATTGTAAGGTGAACGTGCGATGGCTCGTAAAAGTTTTCGTGCATCATTTAAAACGCGTTAACTTCTTTAAAACTGGGCTAAACGGTTTGGATTTATTTTGGATGATAGAGGAACTAGTTTACTTGACAATGACTAAAATGCTTCTTTTTAATTTTATTAATTACTTTTAACTTTTTTTATTAATTAGTTTTAATTACTTGGAATGACAAAGAAGACAAAAAGCTTTCGTTTTTTAGCTTTTCTATCTAAGCTTATAACGAAAGTGTAAAAAAATACTTTTCGTAGATCTCGGTAACTCATGTGCGTGCTGAAGAATTGATCTAAATTGGTTAACTCAGAGTCAAGCTACAGGCGTAGAAAGATTTAAAAAAAACCTGCAAATTTCTTACAGTTTTTGATTAAACGTGTCAAAAATCGTGATAAAACTACGATTTTTGGGATCTGTAATTTATTGCATCTTATAATAATTTCGATCAAATTTTCAAAATACCTGCAAGTTATCGAGATCTACAAAACGCACTGTTTAAATTTTCGTTATAAATTCAAATAAAAAAGTTGATAAAAATATGAGGTATTTATTTTCTTTTGTTATCATTACAATAATAGCAAAATTTGATAAAAAAAAGCATTTTAATCATTTTCTAGTAGACTAGTTCTTCTATCATCCAAAAAAATTCAAGTCATTTAGTCCAGCTTTGAAAAAGTTATTGCATTTTGAAGAATGTACGAAGACTTACTATTCAATTCAACTAAAAATAAGTGTGCAATTCTTGGACAAAAAATATGTGTGGTCGAACAAAAGGAATATAAATATATTATAAAAATATATAATATATTGTATCATAAAAATATAAAATATATTATATTATAAAAATATAAAATATATTATATTATAAAAATATAAAATATATTATATTATAAAAATATATCACTTTCATACAATTTGGAAATTAGTTCGGATATTACAGGCAGTTATCTGTTAACCCTCGGAAGACGGACCTTGGTGGCTAATGGTGGCTAAAGCTAGGTCATTTTGTGATCTATGCCAAAATCAACCATAAAAAGATTCCAAAGTGATTTTTTCCTCGAGTGATCCACGTCCCGTGATGATTAAACGCCATTGTTAAAATGTTTTACGATGGAAATGTTCTGAGTTTGTTTTCTTAACAAACAAAAAATCTACGGCCAACGAGTCTCCTGACGGCTAACGAATGGCCAGATATTGTTCGTCACGAAACAAACCAATTTGAAAAAGGTATTATCCTCGAAAAAATATATCTAACGATACAAATGATCACGCGTGATATTGTACCACGTTCAGAAGGATATGAGCCGTTTATTTTGAAAGTGGCATAAGTCACTTTACCGTAATGAAAAGTGGTGATATAATACAAGTAAATCTTCTCGAAAGTTAGCATCCATATTTTTAAACCTGTTAAAACGCAAACCCTTGAATATATCGACTTAAAAACAAAGTGACATACGCCATTTTCAAAATAAACGGCTCATATATGTATATTCCACTGGGCATTTGGAATTCTTGTAAATGTAACTTCTGAAGTATCAAAGCCAACATAGGTTTTTCTTGAAATAGAACGTGACATTTTTACAACACCATGTCCCCTGTAAAGTTAAGACTTTATGCTCGTCGTAAAAAAAAGAAACATTGAATCGGAAGATTTTCGTCGCACCTACGATTACACAATTGACGCGTGAACTATCACTGTTATTATCAGCGATGTGGATGGCGTCAGTATTCATTCAAAGAAATGCGTTTACGAATTTTTCATAAGCCTATTATTCTTACCATCCAAAATTATAGAACCGGCTAATAACCTCGTGATTAACGATCGATAAGAAATCTTCTTACCTGCAAGCCGATTGGACGATCGAAGCCGAACGGTCCTCATTAACCGATTCGAATCGTGTTCCTGGCAACAGCGACTAGGCCGCGGTCCTTGCCCGAAAATCGGCTCCCTTTGTGAATGCAGCTTAACGGTGGAAGGCAGGCCAGTCAGCCAGGAGAAATATGCACACATTCAGGTTCTGCCGTTGGTGAAGGACCAACCACACTGACGCCCCATAGCGCGATCCTATACACTCTCTAACACACGGAGACCGGCGACCTCTCTCTCTTCCTCTTTCTCTCTCTTCACTCCCTTTCTCTACTCCTATGTCTCTGTCTTTCCCTCTCTCTCTCTCTCTCTCTCCCTTCTTGGAAACAGATGACAGAGTGACTCGGTCACCGTAACCCACCAGACGTTCCACAAGAGGCACCTTTACGTCGCGAGATTATTCGGCAGTACCCGACCACTTGATCTTCACGAACAAACGTGCGACCGGCTCCATCGGTCTCTCTCTCTCTCTCTCCTATCGGTTCCTTCGGTCCTCCTTCTCCTTTTCTTCTTCTTCTTCTTTTTTCGCGGGTCAGTTCTAGCCGCGCGACACGCGCGCGTGTTAACCCGACTCTGCGAAACGGAACGACGTGAACCACCAGAGAGAGAGTCCCTTCCTTGATTCAAGCACGCGCGAGGCGACGAAGAAGGGATGCTAAGATCCCTTCGTTTCCACTCTGACTGGTCTCCGGATCCGTGCCACTAACTTCGCGTACCGTCTTTGAATAACGTCGAGCGACCGCGGCACCGCGAGCACACCATATTCCCTTTCCCTCGCTCCACGGAGATCTTTCGCGTTTCTACGGTTTCGGAAGCTCGCGAACGTTATCGCGCGACGAGGGCATCGTTTCTCGTCGGATCGTTTCTTTTCTGCGTTTGTCCCTGCCTGCCGTGCGACCGCGAGGAAGGAGCGCGCGCTTCAGAGAAGCACCGTGCACGCCATGCACGACCGTGGTACATACAGCCCTCCAGGGACCGTGCAAATCACCCCCACCGTCCGCACAACCGGCGTCACACTGAAATACCGTTCGCGTGTGTGCGATACCAGCGAGCACCGAGCGGGAATACAAGACTGACTCAGCGACATCTCACGGAATTACGGCCAACACTGTCGACCTACTCGTTGATAAAAGCAGTTGCTGCTATCGATCTTTGTTGTGTATCTAGAGGGCTCTCGCTACAGAAGCGATAACGTCTCTCTCTCGATGTCCAAATAAAATACAATTTCTACGTGAACCAGATCCGCAAAACAACACAGACATTTCCTTATATTTCTAGTTTCGTTGTGGATTTCGGATCAAAATTTTTAATAGACGTTTAAATCTCTGAGTTTGAGAATTTTTTGTAGGTAATTATTAAACTGAATGCGTAGTTTTTCTAAGAGAATAAGAACGCAAATTTCAGCTTTGTTTAAAAAATTTTTTAAAGTAAAAATCATATAAAATTACGAAATTATTCGTTGCTTTCGAAATTCCTTCTTATAGAGTAGAGCACTGATTGCTGCCCGTCACAGTTGACAAGTACTAGGATGGTTGAATTAACAAAATTTTGTAGATTCATAAACTATATAATTACTTTACTTTATTATATTATATATAATAATATAATAATATATATATAATAATATACTTTATTATATATATATATATATATTACTTTACTTTATAATTCATAAACTATATATATTTAATAATTGTAGAAATGATCGTCGTCTCAATACGCTGGACTGTGTGGTCGAGAATCCTACGGGGCGAAAAGTACAAGTCAAATATCGCGCCGTGTGTTTCAGATGGAGCGCCAAGTAAACGGATGCACGAATAAAGTGAGATTGCAAGCATGGTAAAGTGAGACAAACTACGTTGGGCGTCGGTGAGACTCGTTTCGCTCGTGATTGTGCTAATATGCTGTGAAGCATCAACCAATCAGAGGAGAAGCAGTTTCTCTACCTGCTTCATAATTCTAAGCCGGTTGCCCCTGCTTTGGCTTACTATAGTGAGGCATGATATGCACTATATAACCAACGAATTTTTCCCGGTGATATTAATAAACTATTATTATTATTATATGATGGATTACAGAAGGACTATTTTACGTACGCGTGTGTGTTAAGTTTATGTTCCATGAACAGAATATTTTAATGCAGTTGCTATAGAAATTCTTGAAGCTCGTCAAAACTATAAATTTAAAAATTCCTTAAACTATGTAAGGATACTCTGTTACTTATATGACATAATAGAACTGATCTTTCCAGTCAAGTTCATGAAAGTATGAATTTATTAAATACAGTTTTTTTTTTATAAAATACATTACGTTACAGATATTGGTATATATATATATTGATATATTATTATATATCAAGCACTTTTAATTTCTTATGTCTTTTTTTCTCGTTGTAAATTGACAGCGGGAATTATTAATTTTAATTTGATTTATGTGCAATAGTACAATTCGTATGGAATATGAGTATGTGAGTGCGGTAGAGTTTGTTTAAGAAAATGACAATCTAGTGAACGGATAGTTAATGCTTATATGAATATAAACGGTGCGCGCTACTTTAGAATGCGTTATTCCGTATTCCGTAGCAGACGTAGACGTTTACTTTTGTGGTGAGTGGTAAGTGGTACTTTGGATCATGAGTACCGTTACCTGTATTGCACCTGTTAATATTGCTGTAATAAAATATTGTGAGTATTTTGCCTTTGATTCTTTATAAAATTAATTTTTCTAAAATGACTAAACGATAAGTGTACTATAACGTTTAT